CTAGTAATAGACTCCTTTGAGACCAAATAATCGTAAAGCCATCTATGTGTAAAGACAATTAATAAACTCAACTCACAGTGAGCATGGCATGTCCATACTTGCCATCCCTAGTAGCACTGGGTTAACTTAAATGATATAGCCGGAGTCAGTCAACAGATTACACTTGCTTGAAATTCTAAGACAATAATGTCTATTTCATGTGCCGAATATGGACAATATTATTGTATTCTTAAAACTGATCCTTCTGTGTGCACAAAAACATCTTATTAAAGAGATCCAACAACCATCTAAAATTACCTTGGTCCCATAAATGATCTCAGGTAATAGTAGGATTCCTGAAAAAGAAAGTGTATGTCTTGAGTGTACACTACAAAGCAGACAAAAAAATCAGCCATATTCCTTGTCCCAAAATTGCAATGCAACTTCTTCAGAAATCGATCAAATATAGATTGCATTGTAGAAATCTCATTAAACTAAAATAAAAATCATTAAAAAATGTCAAATTAAACATGACAATACTAAACTATTCAATACCATTCTAAAAACAAAACCTAGAAGTCTTTGTGCAACAAAAACTTTTTTTTAGGGGGACTAAGGACCTTCACCTACAAACTACTTAAAATACCTTCTTTAGTGATAAAACAAACCTTCTACCTTTCTGTAGCACCACTACTTGTTAAAACAGATCCATTCACTGGACTCAAAGGCATTTGTTTGAATTTTATTATAGGAATAGATGTCCCTTTAAAAGTTCGAGTTGGAAAATAAAATCCTGAATTTACCTCATGAAATTGTGATTTCCAATTGTGAAAAGAAAATATGATTCATGACAGAAGTGTCTACTGCAATTTGTTATTCATTTGCATAAAGATCAATTCTGATCATATCCATGTATCATGGAAAGTGTTGCAACAAAATGTATTGATGCATAAGCTTAACATTACACAACTGAAAAGATCCCTCCAACTATGAAAATGGTAAAAAAAGATAATAATAATCAAAACAGCATGATCTTTCGATTGTTATTCCATCCAGAATTTCATCCTCACTCTGTATACTTATGAAAAATAAAATAATGGAAGCTCTAAAGTAGTAATGCCAAAGAAAGTCTAAAAAGTCCTAAACATCAGTGTTAATGCAGAGCCAAGAGTTCCAACACCTTCCACACTAAAATTGTAATATTTAGCTCACTCCACCACCTTTCCCCTGCAAGACCAAAATCCTGATACTGAGCAAGTATCACCAAAACCTGATATAAGGACATAGAAAAAGACTGAGCAAAAGCAGAGAGAGATACACAGACTGAAAAACACTGGTAGACAGATAAAAAAAGACAATGAGACAGGAAGAAAGAAGAAGAGACTGAGAAAAGAGTAATGCATAATATGCTGAAAATTATAAATAATTGACACCTTCTACTTTATTCCAACCCTAAAACTCAAGTTAAGAGACAAGAAGCACCACTTAAATGTAGCACACTGAACCCAAGAATTAAAACGTTAATGTTACAGAACCCAATTTTATCAAAAATAAAATAAATTAATTTTTGTTGTACTTGAGGTAATTATAACAACATCAAGTAAATCATACAAATAATTATGTATCTAGCTATATTTGAAATCTTACTGTGCACCTTCACTGGCTAAAAGCAATGATGTCATTTGCTCTGCCTCCTTTTCGGCCTTGACCAGCTGTGCAATATCTTATGGTAACTGTTTTACCTGGCTATTTCCTTGAAAATGGTTAATTAATGACAATGGAAAAAAAATAACAGATAAAGAAGCTAAGAAGAAGAAGGGAAAAAAAAGTTAAAAAAAGAAAGAAAGAAAAAAAAGAAAGAAAAAAAGAAAGAAAGAAAGAAAAAATGAAAAGAAGATAAGCAAAAAAGCAAGGTTTAGTTCTGCAGCTGCCAATTAGGAATTTCATTGGGACAGAGTGGTGCCCCATCTTGAAGTACCATTCCTAAACTTCAGAATGTAACAAAATCACATAAAAATCACTGCACCACAACATTTCATCAATAGGAGATTAGGTAGTTCACACTTGAGTAGGTTTAGTCATTAACTATTAGATAATTCGTTAGATGCTTCAGCACCAAGTAAGCTCAATATCACAAAGTGACTCTTGTACTACTACTTTCTATGGACAAAGTCTCACTTGATTTGCTGTGGGATATATGGGTCAGGATCTTCTACTAAGGACTGTATGGACATATCACAAAAATATGTTAACAGATAAATTTCTAAGCTTAGGCAAAGATGCAGCCACCTGGAAGTTGTTTAAAAAAATATGTTTGTGTCCCTTCTTCTCAGTCTAACATAAATGTAAATGTAAATATAAATATCACTACACCTATATTCATATATGCATATTCATGTGCATGCATGCACACTCTCTCGCTCTCCCCCCACACACACACAAAACTCTGTAAAAATAAATAAAGATATAAGTGAAAAAGAAAAAACAATAAATAAATAATTGTTTTATACCTCCCTGAAGA